ATATACCCTTCATGGATAAAAAAAGAACAACAAAAACAGAGAATGAAGAGGCTGAGAATATGTCAGAAAATTCTTGCCAGCGATGTTTTCAAAATTCAGCTTTTCTCTGCAGCAACCTTTTGACCTACAACTTCCCCAATTATTTTTAAAATGCCTAAAAGGCTAATTATGCTCCACAAAACATTTCAACTGAAAATCGGAGTAATATTCATATTCACTCACCCAGGGACCAGTACGAAATTTATTTTTTCCCCTTATTGTCAGCTTTGGTGATGAGATCTTCGTCACGGTGGCATGACGTTGCTCGTTGTGATGGTGCCAGCTGGGTGCTGCGCTCTGTGCAGGGCTTTGGGTGAGGGGTTGTTTGGGCACTGAGCAGGGGGCAGGGTGAGGGATCCTCTGCTGCTATGCATCCTACATTTGATTGAGAAGAGTGAAATGTAGACCCAAACCCTGATCTCTTCCTTCTCCTGGGAGCTCCTTAACCACTCTTTTTGCTTTCTTCTCCTAACTTGTCTTTCAGGGGACTTTTTTATTGCCCTGCTGCCAAGTACAAGGAGAGGCAGCGGTGGTCCCCTCTCACCTTGGTGGTCACAGCAATACCCTGAGACCTGGGAGATGAAAGATTTCATTCATTTTGGGTGACACAGGCTTAGCAAACTCCCACTGGGAGTGGAAAATCTCGCACCTAGATGATGTCTCCTCAGGGATGTTCTTTGATCCGAGAGTCAAGAAGGGAGCTAAGCAGAGGATTGTCCTCCTTGGACTAAAAGCTTTATTGGAAAGCCCCCTCTCAACATGGGTGTGCTTGTATCCTTTTCAGGCAAAACACTGAAATGCAAGTTCAATATCTGAGATGTTCAATTGCTTCGATGTTCTGCTTAACGTGGATTGCGTGCCAAACCAAGACACGTTGGACAGTGCTTTCAAACAAAGACAGGAATAACTTTTGGGATTTCGTGTAAAGTAAGAACGTGTTTCTGGGCAACTCTGAATTAATTTGAAATTTAAAATATCTGCCCCTCATTGATGTATGCTGACAACACAAATATCCACCTGATCCTTCATCTCAAGATATTGTGCTTCCAAAAAAGAGATAATGAAAAAAGGAAGTAGGCTAACAGCACTGTGACTGCCTCCAAGTTGGATGAATGCAAGAATGCTGCTGATGACTGTTATTCTTGGCCCCTCTAACTTAAATGTGGTCATTTTAATTGAGTTTCTTGATGGTAGCATGTTGTATCTTTTCTTCTTAGTTTGTTGTGGCTGAAATACCTAGAACTGTGTTTATCCTGAAGTCATGCTTTCTGCTTCCTTGTTTTTTGTGGTGCAGACTGACTTCACAGTGGCTGAGGTCAACCCAAAGAGCTTTTTGGCTCTTCTGGGGAGAATCCATGTCCAGGAGGACTGGGGAAGAACCAGGAAGTTCTCTTAGTCTTCACATTTGCAGCACTTGGGAAGTGGGCAGAGAAAAGAAATGCCCATGGGGAGCTATGTAGTTTTACACATGACGGAGCAGTACAAACCACTTCTTCACCTGAACTTTAGAAATCTCTCCACTAAGCTGATGGAATATTGGAAGACTGAACTTCCTATTTAATTTCATATAAACTAGCCTAAAAAATGACTTCAAGCTGACTAGGATTTAATTTTCAGTGCTAACCTTCAATTAATTTGTAACTTTTTTGGCACCCAGTTTGCTGGAAATGGCTGTAATTATGTTGTTTTCTGAACGGTGCATTCATTCAGGCCGTACTCAGTAAGACTATTTATACAGCTGGGAAAAAATAATGGTATTTAGGGGGATGGGGGAATGTTAATAGGAAACTTATTGAAAAATTCTGAATTATCGGTTTTGAAAAAATATCTTATTAACTCTCATTTGGTATTTTAAACCAAGTGTTTAGTTCTTAATGTTAAGAGAACTTGGGATAATTTTGTTGTCTTCTTTAACAAGAAATCCACGATCAGCTTCCCTATGGTTACTTTTTATGCATCTTTGAGACTAGCACAATTACATACTTGCTGCAGAACCCCATGTTGCTCTTCGGTGTGGGGTTTTATAATGATAGTGTTGCTTCTTAATTGATCTGCGTAGCGGGGTCTGAGTTGTGCTAGAGGAGAATTATTCAGATATTTGAGAGGATGAGAACATACAGAGTGAGTACGTTACCTTTATTTTAGAGAAAAAAAAAAAAAAAAAGCAATAAAAGTCTGCTGGAAGACTGTTGTTTTAATGCACAGTAAAATGTGTGTTTGCCTGCACTGTACAATACTGCATGTTTTCAAACTGAATGGATTCGCTTTTTGGTTTTCCTTCACGGTTTCTGTAAGTTTAAAAGCAACTGAGGTTTTTCAGCATTCCTTTTTGTTTTTTAGGCATTAAAGGTGTTTCTATGCATGTGTATGCGTGTGTCTCCTCTCGTCTTTAAACCCAGAGGATGCTCCCTGCTGATATTTATAGTGTCTCCTTTGAGTGTTTTCTAGCTGAAGGCACACTTTATGAAGACGGCAATTTGATTGTATTTCTAACCATATACTTGACATAGGTCTAAGGGCAGTAATATTTGTATATAGTCTTAACAACCACAGTTTAGAATCAGAAGCGATACAAAAAGCTTAGAACTGTCATTAGGTATTGAATTTTTAGCTATTTCTGCATTTCTAAGAAGGAGGGCTTTTTAATGGTTGGGTGCCAGTTTCCCTCTCAGGAAGACCCAGTTGCAATAATCCCAAATTCTCAGTGCAGCCTCTGGGCTCCTCTAGGCTCTCTTTCTGCAAGGATAGCCACTGCAGGTTGTTGCTCCATCCCCCCATAGCTCAGGGGGAGTTCCCAAGGGGCTTTTCAAGGTACAGGTTGCTTCTGGACAGGTGGAGAGGACTAGCATGTGATTGTCTCAGAGATGAAATGCTCTCTGCTAGTTTCCAAGGCCACAGTAATACGTACACATAGAATCATCATAGAATCACAGATGGCTCAAGTTGGAAGGGACCTCAAAGATCATCAAACTCCAACCCCCCTGCAGTAGGCAGGACTGCTGACTTCTATATCTCATACTAGACCAAGCTGCCCAGGGCCCCATCATACCTGGCCTTCAACACCTCCAGGGACAGGGCATCCACAACCTCTCTGGACAGCCTGTGCCAGCACCTCACTACTCTCTTGGTAAAGAACTTCCCCTTGATATCCAACCTAAATCTTCCCTCTTTCAACTTAAAACCATTTCCTCTTGTTCTGCCAATACACACAGTGGGTTTCCATATGCAAAGCATGGTTACTCTAATGATGATCAGTAAAAACCATTTGCCGTAAGGCAAAAGATGGAGGCCAAGTCTGAACGGGTCTAAATGACACACATTTTCTGGGTAACCTCTCTATAAAACGCTGATATTCACACACCTCTACTCCTGAGCAAACAGCATGATGGGTGATAAACTATGCATTATTTCCAAGAAATACGGCACAATGCTTTTTTTTTTTTTTTTTTTTTTTTTTTTGCCAACTAAAAGAAGGTTACAAATGAAATTATAAATGAATGTAAGCTATATTTGGAAACTCCTGATACTGTAATACTTTGGAAATTGAAGTGACTCATAAAACCTTGGAGAATACTGCAAAGTTTCAGCAGCATTCTGGGCTGTTGTGGGGCTGCAGAACCACGTGCTCTGCTTCCCCTCAATGCATACCTGGGGCTTAGGAAAGTGTTGAGAGAAGGCAGGTTTGTGGTTGCCTGAAGTGTCCTCCTACTAGTATAATTAAGCTTGAATAAGAGGGAGAATTTAGTTAATTGCATGTTGCCCAGAGAAGCTGTGGGTGTCCCATCCCTGAAGGTTCTCAAGGCCAGGCTGGATGGGGTTCTGGCATCCTGATCTGAGTGGGAGAGCAACCAGTTCACAGCAGGAGTTGGGGCTGGGTTCCCTCTGAGGTCCATTCCAATCCAACCCATTTTGTGATTCTGTGTCTGTGGTACGGTCAGAATTTTGGCAGAATCATCAGGTTGGTGTGGGACAGAGATGGTCTGACAGCCTCTAGTACCTACAGCAACTTGCCCATGACTACATCTGCATGGGTTTGGAAAATCCCAAAAGATTTTCCAACAGACTCACTGGGCAGCCTGGTCCAACATCCAGCCTCCCTAGGGTGGCCAATCCCACCACCCTGCTGGCAGTGCTGTGCCCAATGCAGCCTGGGTGCTGCGGGCTTTACTTACAGTCTGCGTACCAGTGGTGGACAGGAATGAAGGGGTACACATTGGACTTGAAAATTTACTATTTCATACTTAATTTTTGTGGCATCAGGCAATCAATCAGGAGTCATTAACATGTATGTGCATAAGCTGATCTTCTAAAGAGCATGTTTACTTCTTTTTAATTGCTTTCGACATTTTATTTTGACTTTTTCAGGTAGCTGCATAAGTAGTGTAAAGGAACAAGAAAATCCTGTAGGGGCAGTGTAAACAGATTTCCCACTTTTTGTGAGATCCCTGCCTGTAGATTTATGGCACAAGTATTACTTCCATTGAAAACAAAGTTCACAGGCTAGAATCTTATTTTTTTTTTCCATATATTTTTGTGCCAAGCTGCAATTGGAACACACTGGGCTTACCTCCTACTGCTGATGTTCACACTGCGTCTTAAAATTATTGTTTGACTTATTCATGTCATTTGTCCTCAGAAAGGAATTTCATTGTTTCTAAAACTACAGTAGTCAGAGTGAAAAAGCCTGAGAGATTATATCGGTTTGACATACACCTTTTTATGTGGAGCACAGACTTACTTCTGAAAGAAACAGAAACATTTTAAGATGGCTCCCACTACATGAGTATGAAATCAGAGAGGTGTTAAATTTATTATGTTTTTCTGACTGAGGAAACTTGGTTTTGAGCAGAAACTGCACTACTTGAATAAACACTTGTCACACAGAAGAGTCAGCGTGGAGCTAAAAATGCTTTGTGCACAGAGGATTGTACCAATTTCTGCCTCTCTTCTCTGTATTGCAGACTACCCATCACATCACACCGGCGGAAGGGTGAAGCTGTGGGCCACTGAGCACCGATTTCTCTCAGTACCACAATTATGGAGACACCTGTGCTTAATAACAATGTGCTGTGCTACCTTGCAAATTGCAGGACGGCGGCCTGGTGCAAGATGCGCAGATGGCCGTCGCCTCCCCTGCAGGCAGCCCCCACCTCCAGCTTAGCTCCAGGAGGTGCTCCGAGCTCAGTGTTCCCCACATCCCCCCCTCCAGTGCCCTCTGAATTCTTTCAGGTACTTCTGACCCTCACAGCGTGTGTATCCGTGACCAAAAAATGACAAAAAACCTGCACTTCCTTTTTCTCTGCTTGGGTCTCAAAGTTTGACCCATTCCTTTGCAGTCTGTTTTTGCAGTCTCTGCCTGTTGTTTCGGGCATGCTACTCAAATTACATGTATTCCAGTTATTATTTCCATCATTTAGTATGAATTTTACAGGGATGTTGTTTTTAGCTTCCTTACCCTGCCACATGTGTTAACTATAGAGAAACTGTTCTTCTTGTGGAAGAAATTATATACCAAAACTACCCAGTAAAAAGCCTGTTTTATGGCGCTTATAAAATTAATGCCAAAAATGTATAGTAAAGCTTGTTTTTTTGACATTAATGGCTTGTTATTTAACGTGTTATGCTCTTGTAGTGCCTGGAAAATAGCACTTAGATGTTCAGGCATGGTCTTGAATTCGCACCCAAGGATTCAAAAGTTTAAGGGGGTGTTAAGTTAAGAGTGAGGGACAAAGTACACAGGTTCATAACCCATGAAATGAATGAGAAGTGAAATAGATACCTATTTTGTAGCTGTTTTTTTTTTTTTTTTAATTATTATTATTATTTTTTTAAGAGCCACATCTGCTGTGTAGGATACTGTTCAGGTGATCCTGGAGCATAGCTGAGCAGTGGAGGCCAACCCTTCAATTTGCCTTCATGGTTCTTTGTTAAGTGAGTGTGTTCTTTGCACTTTTCTCTCTCACTGTGTGTGCAACAGGACAGAGCTCACAAGCTGACCATCCTGATCCATATTAACAACCAGAATGCCTCTTGATAAAAAGGATAGTCCCACTGAAGTTGTAGAATCATATCACAGAATCATAGAATGGCCTGGGTTGAAAAGGAGCACAGTGCTCATCCAGTTTCAACCCCCCTGCCATGTGCAGGGTCACCAACTACCAGACCAGGCTGCCCAGAGCCACATCCAGCCTGGCCTTGAATGCCTCCAGGGATGGGGCATCCACAGCCTCCTTGGGCAACCTGTGCCAGTGCCTCACCACCCGCTGAGTGAAAAAAAAAAAAAAGTCACAGAGATGAAATTCTCAGAGATGAAATCCAGAGCCCTTCTAGACATTCATTAACAGGGATCATCAAATGAAAAATATTTCAGTAAGTAATTTAGTATTTTGGGAATCTAAGGAAAGATGACAATCCGAATGCATTTAAGAACACGTGCTCAGCATGGATTCCATTGTGAAAGTTTCAGTGTGGGTATTTCTGCTGGTCAGCTGTGATGCAGTCTCTGTGGTGCTCCACAGGAGGCCTCTGAGTGACAGTGCAGTGATTTCTTATGTCTGCTATACCTAAGCAGTGAGCATTTTAGGGGGAGCATCTCAGATACAGAAAAGCTGTTTTGAAATGTGATATTACTTCTGTTTGTCATATTCCTTTAACTCCTCAGTCCAAGGGAACAGACTGGTTGGCCTCAAAGGTACAGAACTTACAATGAATGGATTAGAAAAATTTCTAGGAGGCCTTGGCATAATTTGGGGGTGACTCACTCAAAACAGAGGAAGAGGGTTTTTGTGGAGGTCAGAAACCCCATGTCTGACTGGGCTGGGTAATACAGTTTTCATTTTTATTTCTGTCGTTGTTCCAGGGTTAAACATTTCTTGTCTTAAACCTCAGACCGGGTAATTGCGGAATGAAATAAGGAAGAAACTTTTTGAAGCAGTTCATTTGTGTGAAGCTGGAACAACAGCCCGCTGAACGTGATTAGCAGACAAGCACAGTTGTCAAAGTAGCTTGATCAATGCAACTTAACATAGGAAACTCATCTCTGCATTGTATATCTGCATCACCTGCACACCGGCATACAGGCAGTGGATTTGTTGTGCAGGCAGATGTTGGTCATGTCACTGTCCCTGTCTCCCAGGCTGCACGGAGCAAGGTGACTCACCTCCACATTCATCAGCACGGGATTTTCTTGCACTTACCTAGCATCTGACCCATTGAGGCTGTATGGCATGCTTATAGCCAGTGTTTCCAGTCACAGGAGCATGGGACAATGTGCTTTGTGCCTTTAATGCAGCCTTTTTTATAGCCTAGTGCTGAAGAGGGCTGTTACATGTTCTTGGGGTAGAAGGCAAAGCCATTTAATTGAAGCTGTGATGGCTATTGAGATGCCTTTGACTGCTGCTTGTGTTTAAAAGGGCCAAACAAGCTTTGGCTCACCTACGCCGCCTGATGGGACAGATGTCCTCTGCTGTGGGTGTCTCCTTCCATTCAGAAAACATTTTAACCCTTCTGTTTTGGGGGGATTTTTGAGGACCTCCTTCGTTCACAGAGAATTGAAGAAATGGCTTTTCTCAGAAACGTTCTGGTTTTCTGAGGCACATCCACTTTAAACAAAAGAAAACATAAATACAGATGTGACTGTCATCACTTTAAAGTATTGTATAAGTGGTTAAATTTAATCACAAAGAGACAACCGGCTAATGGCTTTAGTGGAATTCATAAAATCCCATAAAATAGAAAAGTTAAATTTTGTCATATAATGTGAATCAGTTATAGCCACCAACGCAGCTTCCTTTTCCTCCTGAATAAATTCTAAACAGTCCTTAGAAAATGAATTACCAGTCTGCAAATCAGGATGGCATATTTTTCAGCTATAAAACTAAAAGTACTTTCAGATCACTTAGCTAAAAAAAGGAAAAAAATAAGGAAAAGAAAAAAAAGACAGCAACTTTGTTGTTACTGTGTTTCTGTCAATAGTATTGGATGCTTGGTTGTGGCTCCGTTTTAGCAGTTTGACCTTGTTTAGATCAACCTGAATCACATCGACAGACCTCCCTTACAATTTCCCCACCCATCACAGAAAGCGCATACCCTGCATGAGTGTATCCAGCTGGAGATGTGCCAATAGAAGTAATTACGTGATGAAACTATTTAACTTTGACTAAAATACTCTCACCAGGTTCTTTCAAACTGTGTGTCTTATATCTTGTTGAAGCAATTTTATATCATGCCTTTAAAGTACAGTAATGGCCACTTGCATTGACAGAATCCTCGTAAAAGAAGAAGACCGAGACCTTGCTCATGAAGTGCTATTGATTTTCTGAGTTCCTGCTAGAGTTGCCAAAGATACAACACTGTTGTTAGGGAGAGAAGATACTTTGGCCTTCAATATCACAGGAGGGTTCCTGTGTAAGCACAGGCGTCAATGGGTTTCAGTGATAAATAATGCATTTTGGTGATAACTGCCCATATAATTTTGTCAGTTTTCTATGACTCAGCATTTGCTCTTGCCAAGCGTTTCTTTTCCGTCACCACCGGCTGCTGAAGTTTGAGCTAATTGCAAGTGCTATTTATATTTGAAAGGGCCATTTGCATTATGGCAAAAAGCTAAACTTTCAGTTTATCTTAGGCAATGGTTGGTTGTAATCTGTGGGAAAACTGCAGGCACCCTCAGCGTGATCGCTGTGATGTTTTCCAAGGTAAGGCACTGTGATCGGAGCACATGCTCTGCTTTGGGCAGATATTGGTCATGCCTTTGGACCGCCGAGCTGACACTGAGAGGAAAGCTGATCTCTGGTGGTTTATGGCACAGGGTAAGGTTCTCAACCCCAGTCCGTCCTGCTCAGCTCTGCTTACTGCCCGCTCCATGGGACAAATTACACATGGAAAGTCTTTGGGCATCCTTGGCTTCTGTGCCGGTGAAGCTGTTTGCTTACCCAGCTGCCCTTGGTGACATGAACTGTGCCCACAAACCTTGTCTCTTTCTTGTCCTCTTATGTCCAGCCATATATCAGTACTACAGGATTGCTTCACCCCGAACAACCAAGGAAATACAGTTTGAACCTAATGCTGTACTTTCTAATGGTGTCCTCTAAATGTGTTAACTTGTAGGCATTACAATTAAATCTTAATGGTTTTGCTTTTGTGCATATCACATTATTGTAGCCAATAGATAATTATTATTTATCAGTAGGGGGAAAAAAGGGCTGGCTTGGAAAATTACAGCTATGGTAATTAGTTTTTGATGACATTAACCAATTAATATAATTTTATGTTTTCTATTTTGAGGTTGAGGCAAGGTTGTCTTTATTTTCATTCCTATTCCAATGTTTGAGTCAATGTCCTTCAGAAGGGGCTGATATTGAGTGCCCTGGAGGGTGCCTTCATCACCAGGCAACGGGGGAGACAGTGCTGCAAAGAAATCATGCAGCGCCATTTTCCTCCCTGAAGTCTGCCCCTGTTCAGAATGGCAGAAATCAGCTTTCAGCCCTCCTGCCCACTCCACTTCCACTCAGAGAGAGGGGAAAAACCCAAACCCCGAAAAGAGATTACAGAGGAGAGAAATATTGCTCACTTGCATCTCTGTCTGCACAGAAGTCTCTGTATTCAGGTGTCTGAATACAGCAGGGCTTGAGCAGTGGGGAAGAGGAAGAGCCCACCTCTCCCCATCTTATGGCCTGTGCAGTTTTACATTAGTGTCCACCATTTTGCTTACTCACAGAGAAGGATTAACATCCCGGCCAGCCAAGCAAGCAAAACTGGCTTACTAAGGCTATGTTCTGGGGGCTTTGGTCATGTTCTTCCAGATTTGAAGAAAAAAGTTCTTACCAGTGTCACCAAGGGATGTGGTTTAGTGATACACTCGGAAGATCAGGCTTGATGATCTTGATCAGGAAGGTTGAGCTTGATGGGTCTTTTCCGACCTAAATGGTTCTATGAGTCCATGTCCTAAAACCACTCATAGTTGTTCAGTATGTGTGCTTTGTGCCTTCCTGCTTCAGTTTACTCCTGTTTAGAGTGTACAAATGAAATTCAGTTGTGTCTGTGCATTTGTGCATCCCCGGCAAATAAGTCCAATGCAGATGAATTTCCTTTGAGGCTCAATGTGAGAGGGGTAATGTAAGAAAATCAGTATGAAAAATTTTCCTGGCCAATGGCATGGGAGGTTGGAAGAAGATGATCTCTGAGGTTCCTTCCAACCTAAACCATTCTATGATACTACAATTTTCTGA